GGGCAGAAATCCTGTGCGGCGTCTGAAAATATCCAGCCGCACGCAGGCAGGCCGTCCAGGATGTTGTGGGGGAGCGTTTCCTCTTCCTGTTGCTCTCGCTGTTGGACCTTCCTGTCAGTTAGCTCTCTGACTGCCGACAGACTCTGGGTGCCTTCCCCGAGTCGACCTCAAGGGAGTGCGACGCTTTACCGTAAAGTATTAGTTCATATCCTCTCCTCCTGGGTGGCCGGAGCTCGGTGGAGGTGCGTATCTAAAAGAAAATGAGGACCACACTCAGCTCTGAGGCCACACGTGTTCGTCAGGTGTTGCTAAAAGGCTTCTGGGGCTTTTCAAAAAAGTTTTTTTTTTAATCTCCAAGGTGGCCAAAAAGCTCTCATCACTCTCACTCCCGAAGCCGTGATGCGTTCAGGGTCTGGCTTTGTGAGTCAGCCGTGCCAGAGGGCCCGATGGGAGCTCTGGTACCGAGACCGGCTGGGTCCGATTAGGACCTGCTGTCCAAATCTGGAACCCGTTACCTGCTCGGTGCTCTTTCTGTTTTGTATCTGTACACGTTGAGCTCAGGAGTTTATAAGAAAGCAAAAAAAAACTGTTGTCAGGCCTGATACGTCTGTATGATGCCTCTCAGTAAAGGAAGCAGAGCTCAGACAGACAAAAAAACACTGATATCGTCATCTGTGACAGAAAGGAAATGATAAAGGGACGACGAATGGCTGGAAACGGAGTTAAATTAAACTAGTAAAAGATAAAGAGTTCTGAATCAGACCCGTCTTACGTTTTTTTGGCTCTGATCACCATAAAAGTAAAGGTTTTGCAACAGGAATCCATCTGCTGACTCAGTTTCTCATGTTGTGAAACCTCCTATTTTCTCATATGAAGGCTGTTTAAATAATGATACTGTTGGCTTTTACTGTGTGCATCCACTTTCTCTAACAGATTAAGGTCGATCCAGAAACAGACGGACTGATAGCTGACCGGACAAAAGCCACTGGCCAAACAAATGCAAAGCAAAGTCCAAATAAACAGGAAGTAGAGCACCAGGAAGACATTTAACTGGAAAATGACGAGATATAGACAGAAACGGAAGGTCAGATGGGGAGCAGGGCAGAGCAGTTTCATACTGATCGGTGGTTTGACTCCACCTTTTAACATGTGGGTTGCCCTTGGGCAAGGCACTGAACCCCAAGTTGGATCTATATGCAGAGGAAAGCCTTTCGAGTGGTCAAATTAAGTGGAAATAAGTTAATTTATCCACTTTGACGACAGGTAGAGTGAGGAAATCTATCCACCGACATCTGAAACTCAAACTGAGGAGAAACATGAACACAAACACACACGGAGTACAGCAGAGTGCGTCAGAGAGAAGGCAGAAAACACAAAAACCCGAGCTTTAATGTAGAACCACAACTCAAGGCCAAAGCTTCTAAAAAAAAAAACCCAACGAAGGCCACTGAACAGACTCCAAAGCACCGAGAGCTCCACCAGGCCCTGAACTTAAGCCCAAAGAGCATCCCACACCCACAAACCTTCACACAGCTAACTGCAGGATCTCAAACTCCATCCCAGAATACGAAATACAAGTTCAGACCGAGCTGAACAACATTGTTTTATTTCTCAGAGGAATTTCCACTCACTTTTTTGCTGTTTTATCATATTCATAACAGGGATCTGAAGTTTGGTTTTAGCTCAGTTTGTTCTTCATTCAGAGATTTTTGATCAATTTAAGTAGGTTTGTAGATAATCAGGAGCCAGACATCTAATGATACTAAGCAAATGAGTTTTTTTTGCCTCAAAAGCAATTTTTTTAAGCTGGATTTTCCTGTTACTTTGGTGTGTGACATGACCTGAGTGTGTGAGCCCAGCTGTATATACATATACATGGGTTTTAAGAGAAGAGTGGCCAGAAAAAACACGGTACTTCATCATATTGAAGCACGGTGGTGGCAGCATCATGCTCTGGAAATGTTCTATTAATTAGCCAAAAAGAAGGGAAGAAATCACTTGTTTTGGGCCTCCATTGACTTCAAACTCTGATAGAGGTTTATTTAAAGGGTGAGGATGCTGTTAGGGGCCTCGGTCAGAACCGGTGGAACAGCAGGTGAGGAGAGAACCAGGTGAGGGGAACGAGGGAATCCATGACAGGGAAAAAGGGCTGGGTCTGAAATGACCGGAGAATTAGTGACCGAAACAAAAAACAAACTCAGTGGTGGAGTAACTACGTTACAGAAAACTGTCTGTTTGTATGAATACGCCTCAGTTTGTTCAAAGGAGGCCTATGAATAATGTCGTGTGTGAGAGTGAGCTGAATGGAGGAGGGGGGGG